TTTACAAACTTTTGAATTAGGATGACTGTGATGTGGTTAGAAATTTATTAAGTCTTTCGAAGTAGTTTCTGACAATCTTGCAGAGTGTCTTGAATCTCAAGTTAACAAATATAATGATTTCATTGAAAAAGTTTTAATGAAATACTTACTGAAAGTTAACATTTTGAAACGTGGTTTTATTTGAATAAGGAAGATAGATAATTTACATATGGCATGTAAATAAAAATGATGAGATTTAAGTTCATTGTCTCATAGGGTATCATATTAATACTTTACATAGTCTGTTGCTTTCACATTTAAACTTAAGAAACTGATGTCTAATTTAAACTTTGATTTCAGTAGTCTCCTTTTTTAAATAGTAATATCTTTGGAAATTCTTTTGGAATTACAGTTGTCATGGGTACAGGCAATTTTTACTATTTTTTATTCATGAAAGCAATTTTATGATGCAAAATATGAATGTTCTCTGGATAATTGCTGTTAAAAGATGTCTCAAATTAGTAGCACACTTTAAAAAAAAAAAAAAAGATTTATTTATTTATTTATTTATTTATACAAGCGCTGGGTATAGTCAGAAGCGCGGTAGGGTAAGAGAATTCACTGAGCCAGAGCAGGGAGCAGAGCAGGCAGAAGGACCGAAGTACACTGCTGAGGGGAGCAGCACGCGGCAGGAGAGGTCTGCACGCTATGTGGGACCCTCACCCAGTGGCCGGGGAGCAGCCAGGGATCGAACCGGTGCTGCAGAGGCTGTGGGCAGCTTCGCAACCCAGCGCTCAACTGCTGCACCACCGGGGTGGCCCAGCACGCATTTTTTTAATGGAAGCACCATCGTACTTATATTTAATGAGTTGAATTAGGGTGTTTGATGCAAATAGACTCCCAGACTTTTTTGTATTATGAGATTTTGTTCTCTGAAGGATGAAGTTTTTGAAACTATACCTTTTTCTGATCTTTTGTATTTCTTTATTTTTAGTTCATTAACACAATTTACTCCTTTAAAAACATTGGTTTCTGCTTAAAGTTTTAAGCAGGAAAAGATTTAGAACAAAATCCGTACCCCATTCAAGTATCTTCTCTGATTCTACAGTCAGAAGGCAATTTCTCCCCACATTAATTAACCCGAGTTTATATACTTTATATAATAGTGCTCACTTCAGCAGACGTATACACTTTGTATAATAAAGGAATAGTTAACCCAAAGGCTTTGGAGGTTTGTCTTCCACATTCTGGCTTGGCCAGTCTCTGCTGTGTGATCTTGGGCAAATACTGTTTAGCATTTCTACATCTTACTTTTTTCACTTGGAAACTGGTGGCAGTGCCAGTAATCTCAGAACCATTTGGATTATTTTGTTTTAAATTTCATTTTGAGAATTTAAATGATATATGTAAAATGCTATAGTATCATGCTATAGTAAATGCATAGTATAGTATGATATAGTATCACGCTATAGTATGATCACCTTAATCATTATGGTAGGCTGCCTTTGTTAATTAATCTTGCTACCCTGATGATTGGAATCTTCCTTTTTGTTCTTTTTTTCATACTTCTTTTGATCATCTTTGTAATGTAATCACCCTGTGATGCTCAAGATTTATGAGTAGTGAGAACATAGTGTGACCCAAAAAAGGAGTTCTCTTCATTTTCTCTTCCTCTTTTGTTTTAAAGTTGCATATTCTCTGCCTTGTAGTGGTGTCCTTAAACTTCAATATGTTTCAAAAGTCCTAGTTGATAATTTTTCTGCCCTGTTTTCAGTGTTGTAAGTCTTTAGACATGGATGTCCTTAACATGGATGTCCCTGCTGCCTTATATGATTTTACTGTCTAGAAATTCAGTTCTATATGGTTTTTCTACTCCAAATCAAATGATTATTACTATGTATTAAAATTTAGATTTGTCTATTTTTATTGTTTTCTTTGTTTATCGTTGCCTACTTTCTGTGTTCACTTATCTTTTTTTTTTTTTCACAGAATATGTTACTTCTCTTTACTCAGTCCACATTTAGTAATGAGAATACTGTTATGTGAGGTCACAGTTGTAGAACTGACAATAGGACCCCATGTAATCTATACCTCCAAGTTTCTTGTCTTTGTGTAGAGTTGCTACTTTTACTTAAATATGGATCTGCCCCAAAAGCAAATGGGGATTTAATAACTTACAAAGGTGGCATTTCAAATCAGTGGGGAAGGCAATAGAGTAAATGTCATTAAGAAAAGTAGTTAGCTGTGATGGGGAGGAGGAGAATCCAGCTAGACCTCTACTACATTGCTTTTATTTTTATTTATTTATTTATTTTAAAAAAGATTTATTTATACAAGCACTGGGTACAGTCAGAAGCGCGGGAGGGTGAGAGAATTCACCAGAGCCAGAGTGGGGAGCAGAGCAGGCAGAAGGACCGAGGTACACTGCTGAGGGGAGCAGCGGGCAGCAGGAGAGGTCTGTGCACCATGTGGGACCCTCCTCTGGTGGCCGGGGAGCAGCCGGGGATCAAACCAGCGCTGTAGAGGCTGGGGGCAGCTTTGCAACCCAGCACTCAACCGCTGCGCCACCAGGGAGGCCCTGCTTTTATTTTTATTTCTATTTTTTTAATGATTTTTCTCTCTCTTTTTAAGATTTATAATTATTATTTAAGATTTATTTATTTACTTATACAAGAACCAGGGTACAGGCCAGATGCACGGGAGGGTGAGAGGATTCACCAGAGACAGCATGGAATACAACAGGCAGACTGACGAAATAGACTGCTGAGGGGAGCAGCAGGCGCAACAGGAGAGGTCTGTCGCGCCATGTGGGACCCTCGCCGGCCGGCCAGTGTCAAAGCAGCACTGCAGAGGCTGCAGATAGCTTCACAGTGCGACACTCAACCACCTGTGCCACTAGGGAAGGCCTATAAAGATTTATTTATTTATTTGTTTGTTTAAATTTATTTTTATTTATTTATACAAGCACTGGGTACAGGCAGAAGCGGGGGAGGGTGAGAGAATTCACCAGAGCAGGGAGCAGAACAGGCAGACTGACGAAGTACACTGCTGAGGGCAGCAGCGGGCAGCAGGAGAGCTCTGTGCGCCATGTGGGACCCTCGCCTGGCGGCCCAGGATTGAACCGGTGCTGCAGAGGCTGTGGGCAGCTTTGCAGCCCAGCACTCAACCGCTGCACCACGGGGGAGGCCCTACTACATTGTGTTTAAATCCTGCCTCTGGCAATGATGTAATCTTCAGCAATTTATTGCAACTTTTCCATATCTTACTGTTAATGTGAAAATGAAAATAACAACTTACCTGACAGGACTGAATGGCAATAATACATGTAAAGCCATTAACACAGTGAATTATTTAATAAAAGGTTGTTGTTATAAGTGTATTTTTTTCTTGTTCATTTCGCTTAATCTGCATACACATCCAACTTGATTACATTAATCCTAGTATGTTAAATCCCATGTATGGTCACTTAAATAGCTTGACTATATGAAGTTATGTTAGGAAGCAGAACTACAGGAAATGAGTTAGTATTGAGGTAGTGGAATTACTAATGAATAACAGTTTCTAAAAATGTTAGAATAATTTAGTGGAGTATGTTTTTTATAACGTATTTGGGACTTAATGATACCAGCTATTTGCCAAGTATATTGATTATATTATAGAAAAGTGTCAGCTGGGACCTTTAGAGTTAACTGTTTCAGTCATAGTGATAATGAAAATCGTACTTCACATTTTATTTTTTTATTATTTTTTAAAAAAGATTTATTTATGGATACAAGAGCTGGGGTACATGCCAGAGATGCAGGGGGTAAGAGGATTCACCAGAGACAGAGTGGGGAACAGAACAGGCAGATTGACCGAAGTAAACTGCTGAGAGGAGCAGCAGGCAAGATCTAATGCTCCATGTGGGTTTCTCCCTGGCCGGCTGGGGATCGAACTCGTGCTACAGAGGCTGCGGGTTGCTTCACAGTGTGGTGCTAACCCCTTGAGCCACCAGGGAGGCCCCACATTTTATTTTTTAAATATTTATTTTTATGTATGCATAGAAGAACTGGGGTCTAGGCCAGAGGTGAGGGGTGAGGGAGGTAAGATGAGAGGATTCACCAGAGACAGGGTGGGGAGCAGAACAGGCAGATCTACTGAAATACACTGCTGAGGGAAGCAGTGGGTGAGACGCCAGAGGTCTGCTCTGGGGATCAACATGGAACTCAGGCCACAGTGGCTGGTAACAGCTTGATAGCACTGAGACTTCAACCCCTGTGCCACCATGAGGCCCACATTTCAAGTTTTAAACTTTTTTGGTTAAAAATCTTTTAGAAACTACAAATTCTTTTTTTTTTTTTTTTTTAAAGATTTATTTATTTATACAAGAACTTGGGTGCAGCCAGATTCACGGGAGGGTGAGTGGATTCACCAGAGACAAGAGTGGGAAACAGAACAGGCAGACTGACGAAATACAGTGCTGAGGGGAGCAGCGGGCATGACAGAGAGGTCTGCCACACCATGTGGGACCTTCGCCAGCCAGTCGGCCGGGAGCAAATCGACGCTGCAGAGGCTGCGGACAGCTTCACAGCGCTGCGCTCCACCGCCTGAGCCACCAGGGGAGGCCCAAAACTGCAAATTCTTTTAAATTATTCTCCCATGGGCCTCACTGGTGGCTCAAGGGGTGAAGACGCAACCCATAAAACTATTTGCAGCCACTGCAGCAGGAGTTCTATCCCCAGCCTGGGAGCTACCCACATGGTGCAGCAGACCTCTCCTGACTGGCCTGCTGCTGCTCCCCTCAGCAGTGTATTTCAGTCAGTCTGCCTGTTCTGTTCCCCACTATGTCTCCAGTGAATCCTCTCATCCCCAATACTCTGGCCTATACCCCAATTCTTGTATGCGTAAATAAATCTCTAAAAACAATCAAATAATTCTCCCATGCTCTTCCAATTTAATAACTTTTTAATTCTAAGAAGTATTTGAATATGTCCTTTGAAGTATATATTTGTGTCTTAACCATGTTTTATATCTGTTTTAAGGTGGATAGGCATGTGGACCTTTTGGAGGTTGCCCAGGAAACTGATGGGTTTTCAGGAAGTGACCTAAAAGAGATGTGTCGGGATGCTGCCCTCCTCTGTGTTCGGGAATATGTTAATTCTGCATCAGAAGAAAGGTACGTGTATTTCGAGTTGGTGTCTTTGTCAAGACATTCTAGAGCTTTTGAGTTTCGTTTTTTTTTTATAATACTAAGTCTGCTTACGGAATGTAAGATATTGGAATTAATAGTACTCCCAACTTTATTACCTTTTTTTAAATTACCTTTTTTTCTAAAGGGGAGAACTGAAAATGGGGTGAGAAGGTGTCATGGGGAGGATCTGGAATGAAGAGGAAGAAATAAAAGCTGACTTTCTATTGTAAATCCATGGACTGGGTTATAGAACTTATTCATAAAATTAGGTTTGCTCTTCCCTACTAGATAAACAGGGTTCTCTAGTAGCCCAGTATTGCTTTTCTGTCTTAAATTCTTAAATTTTATTTCATATGGAAATAAGTGCCTTGTCTTCCAGAATTTCCTATGTGTATGTTTCTAGGGGCCCTGTTAGAGATTAGACTTCAGCTTATTAAAAATAATGTGTTTAGGGCTTCCCCGGTGGCGCAGCGGTTGAGCGCTGGGTTGCGAAGCTGCCCGCGGCCTCTGCGACGCCGGTTCGATCCCCGGCTGCTCCCCAGCCACAGGAGGAGGGTCCCACATGGCAAGCAGACCTCTCCTGCCACCCGCTGCTCCCCTCAGCAGTGTACTTCGGTCCTTCTGCCTGCTCTGCTCTCCGCTCTGGCTCTGGTGAATTCTCTCACCCTCCCGCGCTTCTGACTGTACCCAGTGGATGTATAAACAAAAAACAAACAAACAAATAAAAAAAAAAAAATACTGTGTTTAGGGCCTCCCCGCTGGCGCAGCGGTTGAGCGCTGGGTTGCGAAGCTGCCCGCTGCCTCTGCGGCGCCAGTTCGATCCCCGGCTGCTCCCCAGCCATCGGAGGAGGGTCCCACATGGCGCGCAGACCTCTCCTGCTGCCCGCTGCTCCCCTCAGCAGTGTACTTCGGTCCTTCTGCCTGCTCTGCTCTCCGCTCTGGCTCTGGTGAATTCTCTCACCCTCCCACGCTTCTGACTGTACCCAGTGCTTGTATGTATAAATAAATAAATAAATAAATAAATAAATAAATAAATAAATAAATAAATAAATAAATAAATAAATAAAATTAATCTTAGAAAAAAAAATAATGTGTTTACAAAAATAAAAACAAGCCATTTGTCACTGCTAACAGTTTCAAAGTATGATGAGTTTGAAACCAGTTTTATACCAACCTTATTTCAGCAAAGCTACCAGTGAACAGAAGCAATTCAGCTCTGATGTGGTGCCATGTCCCTTAAGGAAGTTTCTCAAAAGGCCACTTACCCTGAACCAGAATAACACTGCATTTCTAAATATGTGTTGAAATATTAACCTTCTAACCAAGAATTTCTTGATTCTTAGCAAACCAGTGTATTTTGGAGGCTTGTATTGAATGAGTTTTCCAGTTCTTGCCCTTTTGATTCTCAGTCTCCTTTCCTTAGCCCCTTGAGGCTTTCATTCCAAGTGACCCTGTGGCGTTTGTGTATCTAAGTATACAGAGCATTGTCACAAGCAAGTTTCACCAGAAAATTTCTTTTGGTATAGAAAGGTTTGTCTGAAAGGCAAGCTGTTAACCAGTAGCTATGTATGCACTAGTTTCTGGACATATTTTTTGTATTACTTTTAGTCCCGTTACAAAGTCACTTAATTTATTTGTTACCAGCTAATATGGTGGGGAAAAAATGGAAAATTTTTTGACATCAATAGCCAAGAATCCACCTTCCAAAGGTTTTTATACTTCTATGTAATATTAAAAGGGGACCAAAAAAACCTATGAATAAATGTTGCTTAAGTAATTTGTGTTAGTAATGAGAGTCTTGCTTTTTCTGCTGTATTTGGACCCCTGATATTTTTATTTCAGTATGAAAAATCTGACATAATCTTTGGGTTGTCATAACCTAAGTGTCTGTTGATTACAAAGGAGATATAACAAACTGGATTTTATTTTCCTGATTATTGAAATGAGGAAGATCTATACTAGTTTTTATTAATAGTAAGGAATTTTTTTAAATTTTACTTATTTTTGCATAGATGAACTGGGGTGTAGGCCAGAAGTGCAGGGTGGGGGGAGCATTCACCAGAGACAGAGTGGGGAGCAGAATAGGCGAATCTACTGAAATACACTGCTGAGGGAGCAACAAGCAGACAGGAGAGGTCTGCTGCGCCATATGCAGGTTAGCTCCTTGGCCAGGGATGGAACTCAGGCTGTCGTGATAATACTGAGACTTAACCCCTATGCCATCAGGGAGGCCCCCAATAGTAAGGAATTTTATTTTTAGTTCATCGAAAGGTGAACATACACATGAATGCTATTTTTCAGTTCTAGTTTTCATGGGAATAACTTAATTCCTTTATTAGCATTTTATTCCCATTTAGATGCACTGACACACATTTATATAACATTTATACCTTGTGATATTCTATACTTACATTCTTGATGTGAAATATTTGATTTTAGTTACCATAACTGTAATGTTTATAGTCTGCCATATTAGCTTCCTACTTCTTAGCAGCCTATTCTTTTCAAAAATCTTTTTAAGACTCATATATGAATAGAAAACTCCTGGAAGAATTTACATAAAACCATTGATTATGCTTGTCTTTGGGGCCTTGAATGGGAAAGAGCCTTCATTTATTAATCTTGGTAAAATGTTTTAGGGAAGTTTATTCTAAAGTTATTTGACTATTTGGTGGTTTTGTTTGCATTTTAGCCGTGATGAAGATGAAATTCGGCCTGTGCAACAACAGGACCTGCACCGGGCGATTGAAAAGATGAAGAAATCAAAGGATGCAGCATTTCAGAATGTTTTAACACATGTCTGTTTAGATTAAGAGTAAAGATCATTTGTACAGTTCAATGTGACCTAGTTTGATGTACCCTTTCATCAGTAGTGGAAAAAGAATGGAGGAGTGTTCTTTAACAGTGAGGGAGTTAAATGTTTATGACACTGGTTTTATACTCTGAATTCTAAGTTATTGAGATATAGTTGTTATATAAACTGTATTACTACTTGTCAGAAATCATGAGGAGGAACAGTTTCATCTAGCCTGAGTGTGGGTACTTGTGTTTGACCTCTTTAGCCATATATTGTAACCTTATAGCATCTGAGCTGGTCTTAAAAGTAACAAGTGATTCATGGAGTCATTAGTGAGAAACCGGGATGTGGCTAAGTGCTGGTTTCTAGATATGTGAGAGAGAGAGAGAGAGAATGTGTGTGTGTGTGTGTGTGTGTGGTGTGTATTAAGTGTATATATTCACACATTTTATATTGACATTCTGTAGATATGTTTGAATACAGAAACTTTTTTTTATCCTAACTACTGAATCAAAAAGTACCAAATAGTCTCTATAGCTAGTTAAGATTTAAGGTTGTGTCTGAAAGGTACAGTGATTCAGTCATTTCCAATTGTCATTTATTTCAGCTTTTTTTTTTTAAGTTGAGCATCTGCAGTTAAATAGTTGAAGTCAGATACATCTGAATATTTACATACGGCTCAGTTATGCTTATCAGGATAATGAGACAAAAATACTTGTTCAGTGGTCAGCGGTGAATGGTTCTTCAGGCAGTTGTGAGATCAACTTTGATGTCACCTCTTTATGCAAGCATACAGAGTGGAAACATTTTATACAGTTGCTGTTGTAAAGGTGGATTGAAAGCCTCTCACAAGAATGGTTTTGCAAAACCCCAGTGCCATTTAATACATGTGACTTTCCTTTCTTCACTTACTATAACTAGTTCTGTTGTAACCATTGTTTTGTAATGTTATTTCAAAGTTAGGTGTTCTTTAGATAGGGTCAAATGTAATATGATCAGCAGACATGAAATAATAGTTTAAAACAAGTGGCTTTTTCTCTGTGTGCTAACAATACTCATTTTGTAACTTTAATTTTTAAGCTTTTTTTTTTTTTAAAGCATATTATAAATTGTGCCCTGGTTAGTACAAATAATACACACCAAAACTCCCATATTATGATCTGTAGTAGACATTTTTTTCTATGTGCACTATGTGAGGATTTTTTTTTTTTGTCCAAAATTTTACTAATCAGAATGTTCTTATAAGCACTTAAATACCCAGCATGAGGAATATGACAGTGTGATGTTGAGATACCATCTGAATCATCAGAAAGATTATGTTTCATGTTTCTATTTTTTGTATTGCTTTGAAAACTCAATTTATTTGTGAATCATTTGATTGATTTCTTTCATATGTCTCTCACTAAAATACTGGCTATTTTATCTTTGAGTTGTGTTGACTGGTAGGTGGGGTAGAGGTTGCAGAACACTCTGGTTAACAAAAAGCAAGCTTTGAAAAATTGTGAAAATGATTGATTTTGAATGCAAAACACAAAATACCAAAAATAAAAGTTTCATCTCCATTTTTAATAACTATTATGCTATTATTTTATAAATGTGTAATAAAGAGGTCCCTCTTTATTGATTTTTCTCTATTCCTTGTTCTTTGAGTTACATAAAAATTTCTGGATGTTGGGTTTTGTTTTTCTCCCCCCAGTTTATAAAACTAGCCCTCGGACTGTTTTTGTCTTGCTGTATGATTTCATTTTAGTTTGATTGAATTGGTTGATTGAAAGTAAGGGATGCTATATGTCTTTTAAGTTCAGAATATGCAATAATAGTAATTAAGTGTCACTTATTATTTATCATCAAATGATGTTAGAGAAATATACTAATCCCAGTAGCCATGATTCATCTAGGCATTTTGAGGGTTTAAAGTAACTGAGGAAACTATTATGTGAACTTTTAAACACTGATATATACGTACCTGTTGATTATGCTCAGTTTTTAAGCATTTTCCATGCTTAAACCATTTTCATAATTTGCAGACCTGTACCCTAGAGATTGAAGTAATCACTCACTTGTGTGGTATTACTCTAAAAGTCCCATTGTTGGAAAACTTCTGATAAATCTGGTGTATCTCAAATTATTCTCAAACTTTTTAAAATAAGAGTTCAGTAACTCATTTGAGTCAATTCACTATATAATTCTTCTGTGTCATTCTACCCACTCTTCCCCTACCCTCACCCTGCAGGATATCCCAGAACTCACTGTGTTTACTAGAGCTGGATTGGAGTGATTAGAATAATCTATATGGACCATAGTCATCTAACTTCACCTAGTAGCTGTAACTTGCAGCTTTGATCTTAAATGAGGACGTCTCAAGCCTTGAGTGTGCAGTATAACGACAGTCTCATTAATGGGGATATCTTTTTACTGGAATTGTGTTGTGGACAAATGTTAGAACTTTCTTCTGGATAAAGATGAAAACTTGGGTGTTTATTTTCTAATTCTTTTTAGCTTCTCTTATAGTCAGAATATTGATTAGAATTCCAGTATGCTTAGTCAGCACCATCTGGATGCTCAAATAAAGCCTTAAAATCATTCCATTTAGAATGGATAGAAATCTTTAGAGGGCCTTCATTATTAAATTTGAAGATTTAATTATTAAAGACAATCCCCTTAGCTCTTCAAAAGTTAAAATTGTTTACATTATAGGTGAAAATTCTAAGTTGGCACCTTCATGAAATTGTATTGAGATGTTACGCACAGATGCCAGATGCAAATGAGAGCAAAAATAAACCACCAGTGTGAAAAAAACAAAACATCCTCAGTAACACTGGTGTAAATTTTATACTATTAATTACTAACAATGCATGTTGGCCTCATTACTAAAGCCACTGAACTGGGAGTGTATTTTTATGATTGTTTATAGTTATAAATTGAGAAAACACTTTCAGTTGGAAGCTTTCATGCTTTGAAATATAGTTGTAGTGAATATTAATGCCATCATGGAATGCATTAAGGAAACAGGTTTGCAAATCCTAACACCTTAGATTCAAACCAGAGGCAAAAGGGCCTCCCTGGTGCGCAAGGGGTTAAAATGCAGCACTATGAAACAGTCTGCAGCCACTGCAGCATGAGTTCATTTCCCAGCCTGAGGTGATCCACATGGCGCAGCAGATCTTTCCTGTCTCGCCTGTTGCTTCCCTCAGCAGTGTATTCCAGTCAAGCCACCTGTTCTGTTCCCCATTCTGGTGAACCCTTTCACCCCCTGTACCTCTGGCCTGTACGCCAGCTCTTGTATGCATAAATAAATCTTTTTTTAAAAAAATAAACCAGAGGCAAACACAGCCAAGGTACAGAAACAATCTAAATACCTAGAAACATATGAGTACATGAAGATGTATGTAAACACACACGCAGTAGAATACTACTCAGCAATCAAAAAAGATGAACTCACGCCATTTGTAGCAACATGGAACTGGAAGGGATTATGATAAGTAAAATATGCCAGAAGGAGAAATACCTGATAGTGTTACTTATATGTGGAATATAGAGAAGTCAAGTAAAGCACAAACTATAAAACCAATCCTTGAACAGTGATCAAAGGTGAGGCATCCAAGAGAGGACAGGAGAGCTGGAGGGGAAAGGGGGAGAGCACAATGGACTATGGTGGAGAACTATGGGTGCATTGGTGTCAGGAAAGCTCCCATGACCATATCTAAGGGTAGAATTGCTGTATTGTGAAAATATTAACAAAGATGTGAAACTGGTAATTAATAATTTAAAAAAAAGCCAGTATGGACATAATGACAAAATTTGGAACTGAGCCTAGAACAAAGCAATGTGTGTCCCATTGTTATGAAGATGCATAGCTTCTAAAAACTCTAAGAATAACCAAGATACTCAAATAGGGGATGGTTGTATATCACCCAGTGATACAAAGCAAATTCCTTTGCAGATGTGTCTGAGGGAGACAAGCTTTGTCTTCTGGGCCATAGCTATGGTCTTGTAAAAAAAGAGTACTAGTTAGGGTTCTATAGCAAGTAACTAACTAGCTGATCTTAGCAATGAAGAATTTATTTGAAGAATATGGAGAGCTCATGAGGTCGAGGGGGAAGCAAAAGAACTAATGTTGCTTTTATATCTTCCCTGGATTATTTTTCCAACTGTTTTTAAATTGCCTCATTTGAGATTCAAAATTCTGAAAGTGAAGGTGTAAACCCAGGTCAAAAATCACCCCTTGCAGTCCTGTGACTCTATGCAAATGACCCTCCAGTAACTCTTGGCTTTAGTGTTTAAGAACAAATCTCTGTTAATTCTTCTAATCCATGAGCAGGGGATGTCTTTCCATTTCTTTGTGTCTCCTATTTCTTTTAACAGTATTCTATAGTTTTCTTTATATAGGTCATTTACCTCATTTGTTAGGTTTATTCCCAAGTATTTGATTTTTTTTGTTTCAATAATAAGAGGGATGGTTTTCTTGATTTCTTCTTCCAATTGATTGTTTTTTGTCTAAGAAGGCTACTGGGTTTCTGTGTGTGTGTGTGTGTGTGTGTGTGTGTGTTTTGATTTTGTATCCTGCCACTTTACTAAACTGATTGATTAGTTTGATTAGTTTTTCTGTGGAGTTTTTGGGGTTCTCTATGTATATTATCATATCATCTGCGAATAGTGATAGTTTTACTTCTTCCTTGCCTGTTTGGATTCCTTGTATGTCTTTCTCTTGCCTTATTGCTCTGGCTAGGACTTCCAGTATTATATTGAAAAGCAGTGGTGTTCCAGATCTTAATGGAAATGATTTCAACTTTTCACCATTGAGAATGATATTGGCTATAGATATGGGCTTTATGATGTTGAGGTTTGTTCCTTGTATCCCAAGAGTTTCAAGGGCCTTTATCATAAATGGGTGTTACACTTTGTCAAAAGCTTTCTCAGCATCTATTGATACTATCATGGTTTTTATATTTATTTTTGTTGATGTGTTGGATTACATTGATTGATTTTCAGATATTGAACCATCCTTGTGTCCCTGGAATAAATCCTACTTGGTCGTGGTGAATTATCTTATGGATACATTTTTGAATTCTGTTAGCTAAAATTTTATTGAAGATTTTTGCATCAGTGTTTATTAGAGAGATTGGTCTGTAGTTTTCTTTTTTTGTGTTGTCCTTAGTCAGTTTTGGTATTAGTATAATGTTGGCTTCATAGAACATGTTTGGTGTTATCCCTTCCTTCTCAATTTTTGAAAGAGTTTGTGAAAGATAGGCACTAATTGGTTACTTAATGTTTGGTAGAATTCATTTGTAAATCCATCTGTTCCTGGGCTTTTGTTTTTGGGGAGGGTTTTGATTACCATTTCAATTTCAAATTGGACTGTTTAGGTGTTCTATTTCTTTTTTTTTTTTTTTTTTTTTATAGAGGCATGCTTTTTTTATTTGTTTGCTGGTTTGTTTGTTTTGTTTATACATGCACTGGGTACAGTCAGAAGCGCGGGAGGGTGAGAGAATTCACCAGAGCCAGAGCGGTGTTCTATTTCTTTTTTATCTAGCTTTGGGTGATTGTAAAGTTGTAGGAATTTGTCCATCTCTTCTAGATTGTTGAACTTGTTTGCATATAACTGTTCAGAGTAGTTTCTAATTCTTTTGATTCCTGCTGTGTCTCTTGTGATTTCTCCTCTTTCATTTGTGATCCTATTTATTTGTGCTTTCTCCCGTTTTTTCCTTTATGAGTCTGGCTACCGGTTTGTCTATTTTATTTATTTTTTTGAAGAACCAACTTTTGGTTTTATTGATCTTTTGGATTTTTTTAGTTTCTATTTCATTTATTTTGCTTCGATTTTTATTATTTCCTTCTACTGGTTTTAGGGTTTTTTTTTTTTGTTCATTTTCTAGTTCTTTGAGATGTGAGATTAGGTTGTTTCTTTGAGTTCTTTCTTGTTTCTTGATGTGAGCCTGTATTGCTATATATTTTCCTCTTATTACTGCTTTTGCTGCATCCCATACATTTAGGAAATTGGTGTCCTCATCGTTCAACTCAAAGTATTTTTTAATTTCTTCTTTGATCTCCTCATTAATCCAGTGGTCTTCCAGTAGTGTGGGTTTCAATCTCCATGAAGTAGGAGGGTTCCTTGCCTTCTTTTTATGGTTTATTTCTAGTTTGATGCCTTCATGGTCAGAGAAGATGGTTGGTATTGAGACACAGGGCAAGCTAGGAATTACGCAGTTTTAGGGACAGTGCAGGAGGGGACCTCTGAAGAATTTAGGGAGGCTTCAGAGATAAGGACAACCAAGGGAATGTAACCAATTCCACTAGGAAAAACAAACATTTCAGGACCAAGGACAACATTGTTAAAGCTGGTACTGGTTTCCTTCAGGTGGTAAAGGGAGGCAGAGATTGGAGAAATGGAGAGTGGTTTAATTTATGGACAACTTAGAAGGGCAGCTGTTTAACTTCAATGCAGGGATGCCCATCCAGAGGACTGGGCCATAAAGATAAAGATGCAACAAATGGGGAAAGACAAAGCTGTTAGATAAGGAATGTGAAGATCCCCCACTCAGTAGCAAATTAAGTGAGACAGACGAGAACTAACCAATCACAAAGAGACTGGTGGAGCTTTAGAATAATCAGGGAAAAAAGGTCTATATTCCCTGAGACACAACTTCACTTTGGCTTCCTTGCCCCTCCCAGGCCTGGTTTCCTGGCCTGGGAGTCCCACTTTATTTCTGTTCTTTTTCTCCTCA